GAGAGAGAGAGAGAGAGAGAGAGAGAGAGAGAGAGAGTCAGCAAGTGAGGAAGCGTTGCGCGGATGAAGGCATGATACGATACTCACCAGTATGCGCGGCAGATACCGCAGCGATTGTCGTACTGGGGCATGGTTTTGAGGATGCACTTCAAGCACACTTGGTGGTTACATGGCTATCAGCGTCAGTGTCTCTTCGAGAAGCCGATCGTGCGGAGTGACACCAACCGGAATGCTGGAGGCTTGGCGATCGGAGTCACGACAGAAGCAGCAGGTTTCGCCAGGTGGACTTGGATCAGCATGAGCGATTTCGCTCAGAAAAGTCGCTTGTGTCTTGTATGGGAGTAACACTCTCGGCACGATGGCTTCCACCATTCGCTCGATCGGCTCGTTCCGAATGGCATCCATCAAGCCGCCCATGTTGGCGATGCGGAGTTGCTGCGAGTCGAGGTTGTTGTGGGATAGAGAGAGAGGTGGGAAGCCCAATTTCAAGTGCTGGCACTTGCCTTCACTTCAGCATTCGCGGCGGGGCCTGCCGAGATCCGTGATCCGCTGACGTTTGTGTTTACACAGCAAACAACGTTCTTTCCATCTTGTTGCCTGCTTGAAGTTTTGCAACTTCGTCGCCGCACGCTCTCTCTTGTGCCTCTTGTCGCCGTCGCCCATCACATACAGCATCCCGATCAGAAGTCCGCCGCCACCATGCAGCTCAACACGATCCTCGCGGCGCTGTTCGCAGGCGCCGTGGTGGCCGACAGCGCTTCCATCAACTTTGGTGCGAAATACTTGTCCAATTGTCACTGTGTGCGGGAACTGACAACGGGACTCCAGATGCGGCCATCACCAACGGGGCGACTGTCGTCTACTCGACTCGCGTCCAGACCGTTTTCTCCTGCGGCCCAGATGTCACCGACTGCCCAACGCTCACGTCCGTCATCGACAAGACTACGACCATCTGTCCAGTCACCGCATCTCTCGGCATTTCGACTGAAACGACTGCTTCCTCTTCCGGCGGCTCGACCGTAACTGTCACCAAGACCGCCGCCGTCTCCTCCACTGCTGTCTCCTCCACGGCCGTCTCTTCCACGGCTGCTCCGTCGACTGCACCGCCAAAGGTGCCCGTGCCACTACATACGACCCTCGGATCTCCCGAGACAACTAGCACAGTCGCAACCACTACCGTTGTCAAGTACACCTCATTCGTCTTCAGCACGGTGACCGCTCCGGCCAACTTCTCGAGCACTATTAGTGGCTCGACCATTTCTGCCAACAGCGTAAGAGTCCTCCCAGAACCTGCGATGGGACAGTTGTGCTGAAATCTTTTAGACTATCGCGCACACTACCGTGTCCGGAAGCATTGGTGCTCCGACTAGCTCGCTGAACGGCACTTTGTCGACGGTAAGCCTTGTCCTGCTGTTGCATGGAACAATGGTTCATTGCGAGATGCACAGAGCTGACACATTCTAGGCCACCGCTCCAGGTACTAGCCCGTCTCAATCGATCGTCCCATATACTGGCGCCGCCGCTGGAACATCAAGCTCGCTTCTCTTGGTCCTGGTCGCGGCCGCTGCGGCGTTCCGCATCTAAACTCACGTTATACTTGGAGCAGTGATTGGCATGATCAAGATGTGTGGTAATGGCACGAATGGGTGATACAAGGACACACTTTCATACAAAGCAGACCACTTTGGCATAGGCACGAGATAGAAGTGAGGTTCTCCCTCGGAGTTCTCACCGTGTCACGTCGCGTATATCTCATCACGGCGCGTAGCACAATAATTCGTGACGTCGACGAAGCGGAAGCATTGATCACACATGGCCTGTCGTTTACCTCTTTCGTGCAATGTAAACGTCCTCTCCGAAGCCCGGCGTGCCCATCTCATATAAGTCCTCGTGCCCTCCGAAACCTTGTCCACTTCATCCGCTGTAAAGAACAGCCCCAAATGTCCTCGTCCGCGCAGCCCTCCAACTTTCAGGTCCCGCCATTCCACCGGCTCCTCAGCTTCTACTCGAACCGAAATCCGTACGACTCCCAGACGATCCGGTTACAGGATAGCATTAAAGGCAACCTTGCCCTCGGACTGGACTTTCCCGTAGCCTGTGCTGTAGCCCTCGGTCGTCACCTCTTCCTCCGCAACGTTGGCTTCTTCAGCCTCTCCGTCTTCGTACCGAAAGTCTCCTGGCGAACCACCCCTCTCGAAGGCTTACAAGTCGACGAAAAGAAAGCCTACACATGCTCCGAGCTCGTTGGTGAAGCTAGGAAGCAGAACTTGGGTGTCATGGGCGTGGTGGAATGTGCCGGGTTATGGAGTTTGGCGGCGGATGTGCACACGGGGTTGGTGAAGGGAGAGGATGTGGAGGGGTTCAAGAGGGGGACTGTGTTCAAGAATTTGGAGCAGAGGAGGAAGGATCGGAGCCAGGTTCTGCCGCTTTGGAGGGGAGGACCGATCTCTGTGGCGGGACATTCATGGGTTGTGGGGAGGATGTTTGGGGTGGAGGTTTACTTGGCTGATGGGGAGAGGAAGGAGGATTGAAGAGGTGGAGGTAGATGAAGGACTGGGATAAGAAGGGCCAATGGAAAGATGTTGATGTGAGGAAAAGATGTGGATTGGACGATATGCTGGATGCGGGACCCACGGACCTGGACTTGGATACGGACCTGGTTGGTGGTCGAATCTTGAGCGGATTCTACACAGGAAGGAAGAGAGCATAAACTGCTACGTATTGTCCGCCTGCAGAAGCAAGTGACTCGTCGCCGATGTTACAAGGTCCACACTTCTTCCGGTTTCTCCATCTTGGACATCAACAAGCTTTGCTCATGCCGATGTCACTTGAGGTACAGCGACCTGGCTCAGTTCCCCAGGCGATGCCTGTGGTGGCTGTAGGACAGTCATGGTGTGATTCTTGCTTGGCTGTCTTATCTTCAGCTGTCCTGGTGGCTGCTGTGACGGCACTGAAGACTCTGTTCCTGCTCGTCTCATCCTCCACCTGCCGTGCACTCTTTCCATTGGACTGACACCTTGACCTGGCAACCTTCTGACCGCCCTGGTCGTACCAGCGATCTTCCACGACCACCAACCATATCCTGCGACACTCAGCACCACAAGAGGAACGAGAGCAAGGAACCATTGTGGCTTGTCTTGAGATTGGTCGGCGACGAACTCCAGCAGGCTAGGACCACCACAGTATGTGAATACGATCGCTGCGATGGCAATCTTCATCCATGTCGGAAGCTTGTTGAGATTCGTGGATCCGGACTTCGAAGCGATCTTTCTCGTATTTGACTGTTCGACCTTTAAGATTTGGCGTCTTTCAGCGCGGTTGGGTTGTGCGCCATCTTGTCTTGACGAACTCCTCATGCCTCTTGCCATTGCAGTAAAGGTTGCGAAGTGCGACGCGAAACTTTGCTGCAAACTGTGGTTGCGGAATGCGTTGCGATTTTGGGCAAGGTGAAAGCCTCTTCAACACAAACAGACATCATGACTGGCGACGATTCGAGTCACATTTGACGCAATGAACACTTTGCAACAGAGTCTCGAGCAATAGTGTCGACGTGTCGTCGCTGAAAAGACTCGAACTTTCGCGAATGCATGCGATCGATGACTGGCTAGTTGGCGCTACGTGTCCTCGATCCTTCCTCCCACTCCACACCTTCCCACCACAACACATCGCGGATCGTCTCTGGTCGGGAGCGTGGACTGTTCTCACTTGATGCAGGACTTATGGGACGAAATACTTCGCCTCTAGAAGTTGGAAGTCCTGAAGTCTGGACAGCTGGTGCTGGTTGCGCGATTGGTGAGGAGGCCTCGCTCGAACTTTTGCTGCGAATCCGCTCGCCCAATTCAACATCGTCGTTCTGCTGATCTCGAGTGTGGACGTTGGCCACACGCGCGCCGTGAGATCCATGGTTATTCGTCGGTCGCCACCAGTCCGTCCACCACCATGTCACTGAAGGTACCCAAGGCTCACTGACTTCCGTTTCTATCTCTTGTCGCTGGCGATCATTCTGAGGTGGTGGGACTGCTGTGGTAGCACGAGGGAGATTACTCGTCTCGGCTCTGTGACTGCTGCTCCGTCAGCGTCTTGCTGCCAGTTTCGCGCATTCGCGCAATTGATCGTGGACCATACCTTCTCCTTCTCAGACGAATGAGGCAAAATGCGAGACCAGCGAGTACAAGGAGCAAAATAATCGGCGCAAAGAGCGCGGCTATGGTGACAATGTCCATGATCAATCTTATCGAGTCCTTGCTTCGTCTACTGCTGCAGCGGCTTCAAATGTTCGCTCTATCGCGTCGAAAGGCTCTTCAGAGGTCCCATTAATAATTGCTATTGGAAGAGAATCTGCGCACGCAACGTGCCTGGAGCGTCTTGAATATATACCACGACAGTTTTCATGGACAACTCCGCGCTATTCCGCCTTCCAGGCCGTGGTTGGTCAAGACCTATGGTCAGCAGAAATGCGACTGTGGTTTCCACAAAGCTTCCACACCACGAGCCAAAGGACATGTTGGCAACTCTCCACTTGCTTGCTCCCACCTCCGGCCTTGGGAACAGGCTGACAACGCGCGCGCACGTGTACTGAAGACCAGAACTCGGGCTGGCCAGGAACATTCTCACGCTCTTCTGCGCGCATGGACCTGAAAAGTCGCGAAGGCGCAGAGTGTTACAGCAGAATATCTGGAATGCATTGGTCGCATTCAAGTGGTCCATCATCAATCAGGAGCGCACAACATGAGACGCTCTCCGACTTGCGCAATAGCTGAGGCCGCACGGCACTTTTGAGCAACTATCACAGCTCACCGACAGACGGCGCCAGCTGCGCTCTCGACTCCAGCGAGTGCTCGGTTCCACCCCCATCATTCCATCTCCCACGGTTCTGGAATTACTCAGGCACGAGCTACGCGCGCAGAACTCCCATCAGCGATTCCGGCATGACTGATCGCAGAAACAATTGTCATTCTGTTCACTCCACTTCACGGCACCGAGCAGCGCACCATCAGTAATCCCTTCCATCCGTACTTTCTGGTCCGGCACAGCACAAGCGACGCACGCTTGCTTCCACGAAGCTTTCCAGCAACGCAAAACAATGGTAACAAGACACGCGAACCAGAAGTCACGCGTCAAGCGTGAAGAGGCACTGCGCACCCGCTTGTGAGGTCATCCTGACAGTTCCTGCGCCATATAAACGCCCTTCAGGCTTGTATGGGCTTTAGCGCGCAAGCTTTGACACGAGCAGGAAAAGATTTGGAAGGCTCCTGCCTAATTTGGACAAACTGCCACGAGAACGGTTGTCGTCGTCGTTTGGGTCGAGCTTGGACGTCGCACAGGTTTGCGGGAATCCGTTTACTTGGTACGCAACAGTGGAGCGTACCAGGTTCTAGGAAAGCATGAGCCATGAGGCTGATGAAAGGATGATGATTTGGATTCATGGAGGTGAGGGTGGAGTCGTCCTCATGGTGATCAGACGGCCAGCGCAATGAGGTAGATATCGTAGTATCGTACAAGCAAAGGCAACTGAAATGGAGTCTCTATGCTCTATTTTGGTTACCCATGAACTAGTTAATCCTGATGCCTTCAAGTCTCTGTGAATTCGAACATCATAGAACACGCTAATGCAGACATACTTCTTCGATCCCGACAGCAGCAGTAGTAGAATATCAGACATGCAGAGCTGATCTTTCGAATACCGACCGAGAGGTTCCTCAAAATTCGACCCAGTCCGGCATTGCGAAAGACTCGCAGCATCTTTTGTGCGCGTGCGTCACTCGAGAAATCGACAATGCGACGTAAGTATTGTGTCAAGTCGGATTGAGGATATGAGAGAATTGCTTCCACGCTCGAACACTCGTTAATGTGCGGAATTGATGTTTTTTGATTTGTTTTGTTAGGTTGAGCCGCAGTGAATACCTCGCAGGCCTGCTTTCCTTCCGTCTGTTACCCACATACGCCCAAAACTCCTTACATGTTATGAGTTTGGTATCTAAATGAGATTCGTTACTTCGTCCATTTCCTCCTCTGCTTCCATTGCTCCGCGCCTATTGCTTCTCTGGCGACGTTTCTCCTCGGTGCTCTCATCGTAACAATACACATTGAAGCGATTTTCTTAGTGTTACAGTAGATACGGCGGAATCCGACCGGTCGAACTCTTCGTGGCTCCGGCCATCTGGCAAGTGCCGATGATCGAAGATCCTCGCGGCTGATTCTGCACGAATGCGTTGCCACGACAGGTCTAGTGGTAGCCTCGCGAGAGCGCTAATGGCTCATGAGTGAGACGTGCGTGACCGGAACCGTGCCGGTGATTCTTGGTCGACGGAACTGCACATGCGGTGTGATGTTGCATCATCTAGCTGTTGTAGCTTGCTCAACCTCATTCACCAGATGCTGGGTAGTTGAAGAAATCATCGGGATTCCAGCTGGCCTCCAGGCCGGCAGGTGTAACCTGCCCACTGTTGTTCGCGTTCCCTGTGTGGTGACCGCTGCTGAAGTCCAGATCGAATGCGTATGTGGAGTCGGCGCCTGTGTTGTAGCTGGCGCCAAAGTCACTGCTGAGCATGTCGTAGCCAAAGTTGTAGTCGAGCGCACCTGGTGCGCTCGCAGCTGACATTGGCTCCTGATATAGCGACCGTGATGAGAGGTCGTGGTGCATGTTGTATGGTGAAAGTGTTTGTTGCAATCCGGATTGAGCACTGACAGGAGAACCACGCTTGCTCGACTTTCCATTGGGATTGTACGAGTAGCTCATGGATGGCATGGGTACTCCGCTAGACATCATGTATGGCTGGACGCCGAGCGCCGCCTGCTGACCATCGACCAGCTGCTGTACATTGGGCTCAAGCTGAAGTGTCAATGGACCATCCAGAGATGGCGATTGCATAGGATGTGCGGGTTGTCCGGGAGTCTGTGGCTGCATTGCCATCGACGCCGGTGTCATTGAGCTGGAACTCTGTCTTCGTGGTTCGGGGGATGACCTGGCAGCCGGTGAAACAGCAGTGGAAGCTGGTCGTTGCGCGTCTGATGTATTTGACGTGGTTGGCTTCGCACCTGGTGATGGCTGTTGTTGGCTAGTGAACGCTTGTGGAGTGGCTATCGATGCCGACCGGGCGTGTGCAGATGCAGGAAGAGCATTTTGCATGTTCATCTGCCACGCTTGCTGGCCGCTTTGCTGCAACATGGGGTTGTACATTTGATTGGCATTGTAGTTTTGGTTGGCCTGGTATATTGCTTGGTGCAAGTAGTTTCGGACTCCGATCTGTCCTTGGAGGTAGCTGTTGACTCGCTCGTTGAAAGCGCTGTAGGCGAAGCCTGGGTTCAATGCGTTGATTCTTCGGAACTGCATGGGCAGGTCATCATCCTCTTCTTCGTACATCTCCTCGTTCATCACATCCTCTTCTCTGACTCGTAGTGATCGGCCGGTGCGCTTCTTGTGGATCTCGGATGCTCGTCGAGCGGATTCGACGCGCGCTTCCAGGCTCCGGTCGCTTCGTCGCGATGCTGCAATGTAGGCTCTATCGGAAGATGTGAGCAGCTGCATCGAGAGACGGAAGCGACAGTACAAACCTTTCCTGGTTCTCTTCGTGGGTGCGCTCAGTGCGGATGGGCTTCGCAATCGGCATTGTGCGGATTGGCGGCATGGTGGCTGATAGCTGTAGCTAGGCAGTGGCAGTGACAGCGGTCGTGATTGCACCTGAATGCAGGCTGAAATTCATCAGTGTGATGTTCGCACCAAGATAGAAGACGATGCGAACGGGCTGAGAGTTGCAAGAGAGGGAGGTGGTGAGTGAGTAGAACGTACGGGCGTAGCAGGCGATTGGCGGTAGCGATGTCCCGAGCCCAAGGATGAGTGCTCGTGAGAAGCGGGGCGATAGCGGTGGCGAGCTGTGGTGCACTGGTATCGGAGACCAGCGTGCGACTGCAGGGTCTCGTCGTCGTGTCTGTCTAATAACAAACGTCGCTGCGGTGGGTTGGTGCAGACGCTGTGATGTAGAGAGAGCGGTGGTGAGTGTGGTGGATGGAGGATGCAGCGTGCGAGGCGGCGCTCTGGCAGAGATAAAGTGCACGCCTCCGTTCACGAACTGGCTACGAGCCTACGGGGCAGCGATTCGCGAGCTCTGCTACCCTGGCCATCGTTAGAACTAGACCCGGCCGCTGAAGGGAGCTGCAAGGCTAAAGCGCATGCCTGTCTCTCTGCCCGCTCGCACCTCCACCAGCAGGATGATAACCGAGTGGCCATCCCAACTGTCCCCGAGGCGCTGCAGACAGCACAAGTCGTGCTGTTCCACAGATGGTGATTGGTGCCGTAGGCGGTGGTACGAGATAGACTCGAGATCTGTCCCCGCTGGCACGCTGCCGCAATGCGCTAGGGTGCGGGAATCTCAATGATTTTCGATCTCCTGCTGTCTTGGGCGCAGCCCATTGCACATCAATCGGCGAGCTGTGACGTTTGTCGTGCTCAAGGCTCAAGGCACGTAGAGTGGAGTGGACCAGCGTAGAGCCGAGAAAGAATTTAATGTCCTCCATAGCTCGTGTAGGAGGAACTCGCAAGCCGTACGAATGCCGTCCGGCACCAAGTCCGCGTGAAGTATTGCTCGCGTCACGCTCTCGACCCGAATAGCAGCATCTGTGGTTATGGTCGTCGCACAGTGTCTGTTCGTACCGTACGAAGTGGCCGCAGCAGAGTGCCCCTGTGTGTCCAAAGGTATCCCGCCGAGCCGTCGCAACATTCCTCCGAGATGCAGGCCATGATCAGGAGCGCCTCCGACAGATCGGAGAGATCGCGGCGGAAGTGCTGCCGTGGGCGCGAGGCTTCCTGTGTGGCTCTGATGCTCGCCAGCAAAAGCGGAGTCGCCCAGACGCCAGATTTCAACCTCATCTTCGATCTTCTTGCATCAGCGCTAAGCTGGAGTGGGGATAGGCTCGCAACGCTCTGCCCCATGGCGGCAGTGATGGGCGGAAAGTCGAAACATGCTTTCTCGCTTATCTCAAATGTCAGATCGGGCCCGGCGCTAAGGCCTCGCGGCAGGCCTGTGGTGTCACAGTCGACAGCAACGGCAAGGTGAGGGCGAGGTGAAGAGCGATGGCATTGCTTCTCCTGTGGTTATATCCGGACGAACTGCCGACGCTTTTCGTTTCTTGAGGTCCCTCTCACTCGTGCTCGATGTGAGCCAAGCTGCTCCATATTAGCCCAGATCGTGGGAGATTGTGAGAGTGTTCAGTGATCAGCTTGCATCACTTCCAACGCAAGCGGCTTCCAATGTCGCACAGCGTCATTAGCGGGCGCGCTGCAGTGGTCGGTAGGAGGGAGGGAACGCCACGGCACATGGCAGCCAGATCTGTTTATTAGGCACGCTGGCAAGGCACGCCATGTCAGCGGCGTTTGGCAGCCAGATTTGCACGCACAGCAGGGAGCAGAGCGCGGCGAGAGCTGATAGATAGGTTGCTGGTGGCTAACTAGGGTGATGAGGGTCTGCTGCCGTGCTATCGCTCACATGTTGGCAGTTGCATTCTCGAACTTCGAACACTGCCAGTCGTCGCACCACCTCCTCCGACCCGCTGGCGAGGTATTTCTTTCCCACTGCACTGCACACGCAGACGGCCTGCAGATTGCACGACCCACCACGCGCGTCGCCATGAGGTATAGCATCGCTCGTCACGCCGTCGTCCTCCCGTCCCAGCGATGCGAACCCATCTGCACCTCCCTGCCAGCACGATGAAGTACGATTGCCTCTTCAGGATCTCATACCGACTGCCTCGAATCCTCCGAACGACACGGAACATGCACCCCACCGTGTCACGTCCCAGAGAATCCCTGCGGAGCACGCTCCGAGCGCTAGGCGAAAACACTGAACATCGTGTGTCCGCCATCACTCCCTCAAAAAAACAGAAATCAGTAACAACACCTTCGCTATGCCAAGACCTCAAAACTCCCTCTGGGGTATCACATATCCTTCTCTCGCGGCCTTTGCTGAACCAAGCTGGCAACGTTCAAATCTCGCTCAAACATTCCAAGCCACCTCAAGCAACCTCCAATCATCCTCAAAACCTCTCAGCACTTTCTAAGCCGACGACGACGATGACGACGAACGCTTCGACTCCTGCGGCCTCTGGAAGAAATGCGCTTCAGTATTCAACACCCAATCATCCAAACTCCACGCATCCTCCTCATCGAACAACAAGTAAAAGTACTTGAGCGTCTCGGCAATCCAGAAAGACTCCATACCATCAAGATGCTCCGGATGTGTCTTGGAAATATCGTCAATCGCCGAGTGCCCAAACTCGACTCGCGTGTGTCGTTCTACAGCTTTGAACATTTCCCATCCTGCATCACGCCAGTGCTGTTCTCCTGTGATGCGATACATGTAGAATACGGATTCGATGGCTTCGGGTCGCAAAATGTATTTCTTGCTGTCGTACCTTGCGAACCCGGGTGGAAGCCGCTCGTCTTCGAGCTTTTTCTTTATGAATTCTTCGTGCGTTGGTGGCGGTGCTGGAGTGTAGATTGGTGCCGACGCAACGTAGGGGTCGTAAGGTTCGTAAACATCCTGGTCATCTTGTATGTTTGGGAGTGGTGCCGGTATGGGCGCTGGCACTGCAACGGTGCCCTCTGAGTCCTCGGCGAAAGAAGATCTCACCAATGCTTCATTTTCTTCTGTAGGAAACGCTTTGGTCGGTACGTATTGTGGCTGGGGCGCCGCTGGCTGTGCTGGAGCATTAAGTTGCCTCTTTTTGAGACTGCCGAAACTGCTCGTGTCTTTCAGTTGCATCTCTTCCTCTGGCGATGCATTTGATGCTCCAGCTTTCGCGCCTTCTGCACTTCCAAAGCTATTCGTGTCTTTCACTTTTGTCAGATCACTGTCTTTTGTGTTGACATTCGGGTGCCCATTGTTGGCATAGGCCAGGTTCTCGGGCATGCGGCCATGTCCAGGTGACTGTCCAGAATTGTAGAAGCTGGGCCCTCCATGTTGGCTACCATACTTTGTGCGAGAATCTGATTGATAGGCCGCAGGAGTAGGCGTGGTCCAAGAGAGTAACGCCTGCTCACCGTATTGCTCAACCCATATGGCCCGCTGCTCATCGCGATACTCCTTGTACGGGTCGAGCTTCTCATGCCACAATGTTTCATTCCACTGGCAGTCAGTCTTGCTCGAACAAGCCGAGGCAACGAAGCTCTCGGGCATGATGCCAGTGGCTGTGGAGTTGTAACTCCAAATACATCCATCTGTCAGCTTCCTCCCAATCTCGACGTGCTCAGGCTTGTTGAAAATTTTGCCACCCATTGCCAGCATGCCTCCCGTGAAGCAAGTCAGATGCTCGGCCTTGGGTATGTGAGTTTCATACCACTCCTCAGTCGTGTAATTTTTTGCAATCGTCAGTTCTCCGGAAATGAGGATGTCGAGGTTTTCGGGAGTCATTGGCCGGAAAATAAGCTTCTCAATCGTGGGCTCCATGCTGTCCAGATACATGGTCCTGTACTGATCCAGTCGACCACCAAGGAGCAAGTACTCCTTCGGCAGGTATTCGTACACGCTATCGCTCTGGCCTCCCATGGTGAATGTTTCCTGAGCGTTCATGCTTGGCGATCGTAGTCCTTGAGGCACACACTCAGGCTCCTCCCATGCTGGAGCCACTTCGCTACTCGTGGTACTCTGGTACGATGTGCCTGAACCAGCATCCACCTGCGCTGCCTTGGAAGCTCCAGACTTGTGCAAACCGGATGCGACCAAGTCTGGATCCTCATCGCCTGCCGTATCAACATCGAGCTGGCGTTTGCTAAGTTTGGAGTAAGCTGCATCTTCCGTGTCCTCGATGTACGAATCTAATTCTGCAGCTGCTTGCTTGAGGTTAGGAACATCCTCGGATGGGTCCCCCTTGAAGTCTTGCGTATGCCTGCTTGTGCTGTCCAGCGCTTCCCCAGCCTTTTGAGCTGCATCGGCACTGCCTTGAACCGGCTCACTGGTCATCATCCATGTATTGCCTCCTGGAACGGGTACCTGACTGCCAGACTTGCTCGGGGCCAGTACGACAGGCTTGGCACATCCGCTAGCGTCCACAGAGATCGGCCACAGGCCTGGTAGCCTTGTCTGGTTCTGCCACTCTTCGAACGCGTCTGTGATCCTGGCAATGGCGTCGTAGTACTTGGGCTCTTTAGTCAATTGTGCAAGTCTCGTGAATTCCAGACTCAGCGTGCCCAGCTCAGCGAGAACCACTCTAGTGCTCGCGCGATGGTTATTCGTCGCGAACTGCGGTTTCCAATAGTAGTACGTCTCGGGCATGCGGTTCGGCGTATCGAATGCGCTGTACAGTATTTCGGCAAGCTCCACAGCTTTGTCAAGAAGCACGCGGTACTTTTGTCCGGACACGTCGTATCCTGCAATGAGTCCTCCAAGGTAACGAATGGTAACCTCAAACAGTGGAATATCATTCCTCGGGGAAGTTGTGAAGTCGATAAAAGATGTCTGGTTGACGGCATCCTCGAATTCATCCTTGAGTCCCATGATCCAGAGCGTATCCAATGAGTCGACCAACGTTGCTCCCCAGCCATTGAAACTGTTCTTGCCCTGACCAGAGACCGGCTCGACCTCGTCAAAGCCCCACCCGTACTTCCGGTATCCGCTCCAAGCATGTTTCGCGGCCTCCTTGATCGCCCTGAGACGTTCCACATCTGCGCCCTTTTTGGCAGACTGTATACGAGGTATAGGGGCGGCAGTACCGGTGGGCAGTTGGATTGTCGAGGTGACAGGATACCGCTCCGGCTGCTTGGTCCAGTGCACAGGAGGCGGAGAGCTATACACATATGGCGGATCCTCTACCCTTCCAACGCCGGGCGCGCTTTCCAAATATCCGCCATACCCCGTATCTTCATCATCGTCTTCATATTGCGGAACCGGCGGAAGAGTGGGGAGCGGTTGTTTTATCTTCACAGCTGGTTCAGTCGTCGTCGGCTCGGCATTGTCGATAGCTGCGGGCTTCTTGCCCTCGGATGTAGTTTCAGCGATTCGTATCGTCTCAGGCTTCGGATCTGGGTTGACTACAGGGCCTTCTTGGACAGGTGGTGCCTCGGGAGGCGTGTAGACGGGTTCGCGCTCCGGCTCCTTTGGTGTCTTGGGCGGAGTGTAGGCGTGCGGGTCCTCCTCCGGCTTCCTCAACACCGCTCCACCGCCGACCAGAGTGGGTGACAGGCCGTAGCTCGCAGCATTGCGCTCGTACAGGAAGAAGATGGTGATGATGCAGGCAGCAATGGCCAGGAGTCGGACTCGCCGGTTGCGCCCAGGCATCGTGCCGGCGTTTTACTCCAACGTGAGCGCGAGCTTGTGTGAGCAGGCCGATCCGGTCGGCGCTGTCACGTCTGCCGAGGCTGCTCTGCTATGCTATGCTCGCCAAAGGGAAATGAGTCAAAGGAGACGGTCAGCGCACTCTATACAGACATTGCAGATGCAGACGAGGGGGATGTCGAAGGCGAAGTGTACAAGTATATTCGCCAAGCAGCTCCCAAGAGCCTGCCGTCCGTCTGGCTGTCAGGAAAGAGGCCCTGCATTCCGCGGCAGGCTAGTCGCAGATCGCTTCTTCCGTCTTGCGGAGGAAATGCACCCACTTGCATTCACTTGACCAGCATCCCGTTCCGTGTCAATGCCACGGTGTCATGAAGGATACCAAGTATCAGACGCTCAAGTCTGGAGCGTCCAAAGTACTCTTTGGTGATACCACCATGCCGCGACTTCGTACACGACTGACCCCCTTGGCGGAAAAGTGGCCCGCTTTCCATTAATATATCCCTGCGCGAATCCATTCGGCACAGCTTCGTCTTCTCCACCGCCGGTCTTCACACACGCATGGCAGCACTCAACTGAACAACCCTATCATACCTCTAGGGCTTTGCTTCATCACCAACACCGCGGAACAATTCTTCCATACTTTCCCTCCACGATTCATGTGTACATTGACTACGTTACTCATCACCGAGCGGCAAAGTCTCCCAGCAATACGACCCGCTCGACATTCCTATCGATGCTTCGCACCCTACAACGTAATTTCTCTCCCGCTGACATGTACGACGGGCCCAAAATACCGTTTCCTTGCAACAAGCACGAAGTGGACCCCAGCAATGACAAGCACAGCCGCGAAGATTGGACTTGCCCAGTTGAAGTCTGCCGCGCTGGGCGCATAGCTCTGTGGCCAGAAGCTCCAAAAGAAAGCCCACAAGCTGTATCCAACTGCCGCTGCGTTGATCGCAGGTCCAAATTTGCCCAAAGAGAAACGAGCTTTCGGGATTGTTTCTGGATGATTCAGTCGCCTCCACAGCACGCAGCCGATCGAAAGGCAGTAACACTGCAAGAGTGCGACTGTCAGCAATGAGGTAATGGCGTAGAACGCCACTGGCGACCCAATATATATCATACTGAGCAAAGTGGCGAAGACACATGAAACCTGAGTCGCTACCACAGGTATCTTCCGCTTGGGGTGCACTGATGCAAGCCGGTCGCTGAATGGCAAGCCTTTGTCCCGAGCAAAGGCGTACATGTCGCGACTGACCGCCGCAAGGTAGACCACATTGGATGCCGTGAGCAAGAAGCAGATGAAAGCTAACAGGGCTGTGATGCCTTTGACGCTCATGCTTTGACGCAGCACGTAGATGGCTGGGTAGGTTGTGCTGTCTGCCAAAGCAGCTTCCAAGTCAGGCATTGCGTAGCAGACTGTCAAGACTCCCGGGAAGAGGATGAGCATGTTGACGATGTAGACGACTAACATTGCTCGCGGGATCGTGTAGGCGGCATCCCGGACCTTTTCTGACATATGCGCAGCCTGTGGTTTCTGCGTCAGACACACATGCGAGCTGATCATTTCACCAAAGTGGCACACGACTCACAGTATCGATTCCCGTTTGCTGGCTGATACCAGAGAGTTGTCCAACCAAAATGGTCAGACCGATATTACTCCAGCCTCCATCATTCACGAACTCGTTCCAGACCTGGTTGTGGCTGGCTTTTGGTGCGTTCGCCCAGACCGGTACCAGAAATCCAAAGTACGCAGCAACATGGATGATAAAGACCGCGATTTGCCATTTCGCAAGCGCTTTTGAGCCGTATACATTCAGAATATACGCAATTACCATTGCGGCGATCGCAAGCAGCGTTCCGTGCCAGGAAGGGAACGCGCAGTTCTCGTTATTGACGAGGATAATCGTCTGAACGAGAGAACCGACCAGGAAGATGCCCATCGCGTTTCCGGCTTGCCAGGCTATCGTCGAAGTCCAGCCGGTGAAATAGCTGAGCACTCGCTGATACTTCTCGGGCGCAAATTCACTTGTCCAGTGGTATCTAGCTAACAGTCAGTCAAGCTCATTCAACACGGCGCATGGTCTCCGCATACTGTGCGCCAGCAATTGGTGCGATCGAGGCCATTTCTGCCATACTCAAGTATATGGGCGCAAACCCAACGAAATTCCAGAGGGTATTGTACACTAAACCGGATCTTCCTCCATTGATCAAGCCAGGCGATAACAGGAAGAGACCGATTTCCCATGCTGCGGTGGCGAGTGCCGTGAAAGCTGCAATGGAAAGCAGCTTGAAGTTGCGAACGAGCTCTTGGTCTTTGCCCATGCGCTGCATATTAATAGCATCCGCGCGAGTGTTTTTGGTATCGCTCAGATCACCATCTTGCGACTCGTCGGAGATACCATCATTGTCAAGCTGCGTCGCGGTATGGCGGGCGACCTCTTTCGTCTGGAAATCAGTGGCCTGTGGCAGCTCTTCGGTCTGTTTTCGCAGCTCCATGTGAGTCGTCGCCATCGTTGTTGATTCTAGCGAGCTTCGTCCGCCAGTTTGCCTCAAAGCCGAGGAACTAATCAGGCCAATTTTACAAAGTGAGGTACAGCTGAAGGAATCATGCCACTATTAACTGTCACAGACATCCCGTGTGAGGGGAGCCAAATCTGCAGTCGTGCATAAAGGATGCAAGACTATCAGAGAGGCGTGCCTAGACCTCCAATCCTTCTCGCCATTGGCGTGGGCTTGCATAAAGCTCCAATCAAGCTCGGCGAAGCCTATGGTATGCAGTGTAACCCACTTCTCACTGGTCAAGATTGTATCTTGCAGCTTCTATCTTGTTCACTTATGTTGTGCTACTAATGTCTAAGCTGCGAAGGTAACGGAGGACAACCACCGACGAGGTCCATTTGGAATGGGTGGGAGATGCAAGCTAGCTACGTGTCTGCGATGCAATGGCCATCTGCTCTCGCCTGCAATTCCAATACCAATAGAGAATATGCCATGTTCCTGCATGAATTATGCCGGTGCACTTTGGATGGGCTTGCATCTACTATGCCCGCCACCTTGGGACTTCATTGTGATTGCTACCCTTACGACTGATGACAAATGGCACACAACCAAAGCCACGCGATACGGTAACAGCTCTTGCTCGTGCTTTCAATCGTTCAACCCAAGAAGTGCCAACAGCACGTTCTCACTATCAACCTCTGCATTGATATCCCCCATGTACCCCGCCTTACCCTCCCCGAAGCTCCCCAAAGCCACCGGCGTGTGCCTCAGCCAGTCAACCGAGGGATCGAAGAAGACCCTCGGAGGCGGTCTCGAAGAATGAGAAGGCAGGTACAGTGCATCTTCGTGCTGGACATTCGTCAAGTGGTGGGCTTTCTGGCTGTAGCTCGGCGCAAGACCTGTTTTCCGGACGCTCGTCACCGTTGCGTTGAGATGGAAAGTCCCACGGTAGTAGTCGTCAACGCGCCAGGGCAGAGAAAAGTCGCTGAATAGAGCGTCCGACCCCGAGAAGCGAGCTCCGAAGACGATAGTACCACCATTGCGAACGTAGACAACGGCTAGGTCTTTCAGCTGACGGAACTCGGGCTCGGCGAGCGCTTTGTCGGTAGCCCAGACCGCTGCTGGTGGCGGTGTGCTCTGAAGCGCGTTGCCAGCTTCCTCGATGGTTGATATCATTTGCACGTTCGACTTGGCCTGGAGTTTGTTTACGAACGGGTTGTACATTTCACTCCAGGACGTCAGCAGTTGCTCTTGGAGTTGCAGAACGATGATCGTCGGGAGTTCCATGTTGTTCCGCGAGTTGCCAATGTGAGAAGCTTAAAAGGGCTATCGAGTTCGTGCGATGTTGCAAGAGGCGCCGAGCAGCGCTATATATGACTCTGACGAGGAAGGCGTTTGCGATTGTACAGTCAAGGTTGATTGCGGAAACTGGACTTGCAGGGGGTAAACACAGTTCAGACAGAAGCATCCATTCGTGCCTGGGGCATCGCGAATCATCAACAGAAGCTCTGCGTATAGTCGCGTCTCAAACAGGTCTTTGCGGCGCTGTTTTGCTTCTTCGCTGAGTTGAGAAGCAGGGAGCCTCCTGGTCTTTTGGAGAAAGAGATGCCTTTCCCCCGTAGTCCCTCGCAAGTTCCGGGCCTCAGTCAGCCTCGTGAGTCAGGAAGGGTCTATTTGGTATGCTCCCTAGCGATTGTTCTGGCAAACAGTCGTTGAACCGGGATTTGTGGTGGACCCGCCACACTTGGCCATATCTTACCTCGCACACTCGTACATACACAGCGCCCTTCTCATTCTCCAAGTCTGCCAGAGTTTCTCTGACATGCGCCTCACCAAACCTTTGCAGGTCCAGCTTGATCTTCAAGACATTCCATTCAGCTTCGCCAAGTGCCTATCGGCACAGTCTGCCCATCGATCCTGTGTACTAGCGTTGCTGTATCTGTGTCAGCTCTGCTGCATCGGGAATTGCGCCCAGCCCGCCCAAATCAGGGCTGCTCGGACTAATATGTCAACAAAAGTAGAATTCATAGCAGTGGATGCACGCCGGAGCCGATTCCGGCTGTCCTGGCTCCATGACTCCTTCCAGTATATACATGGCACTCCTCTGTGCAGTGGATCTCTGTAATGGCCCTACTTTGTCACATTTGAAGGAGTGACCGCGTATGTCGGCCGCACGAATCTGCTTCCCGTCAGTATTGTCCAGGTCGGTTTTCTGGAGACAGTCGCAAGCATACCGATCCTTATTGTATACAGGCACCTCCTTGCCCAGCAGCTCCTTCTCCATTGCCTTCTGCGCTAGATCTCTTCGCACCACATCTCGGTCCTCCTCGGCTTGTAATAGTGGAATAAGGTGAATGCGCGACCACATCTTCTCTCGTGCAAGTTCGCTGCGCGTCTATCAGTATACCCTTCTCACACCTGCTGTAAGGCGTCGATGTCCACCCACTTTTGCTCCCTGATTCCCTGCCCCAGTCTCCAAAAGCCATAAGTCATGATACCAGCGACTCCAACGAGGAGATAGGCGGGTCTGAAGCCACGAACTGGCAGGTTTCGGCGGTATTGTACGGGCTCGTAGCCGCCCGTGGGCGGCATGTCCTGTCCGACCATGATTGCGGCGTGTCGAGGGTGTCGTGTGTTGCAGCGCGGAGTTGTCAAGGTACCTGCCCAATGGCAGAGGTGCAGTTGGTGAGCCGGCGGGAGAAGCAGCGACGGGCGGGTGTGGCCCGTGCGCGAGCTCGAATTCGAATTTGAGCTTTGCGAAAAAGTCCGACTTCGAGACGACGGCAGCAGAGGATGCGGAGCAATTGACGACCGACCACCTCGACACCGCCGACCACCACAGAAACTCTCTCTTCACCGGCTCCTGCGGCGTACACCACTATCACCGCCGCCATGTCGGTCGACTACCTGCTCCACGAGTCCTCGGTGGGCTACGCAATTTTCCAGGTCAAGCTGCAGTCCGACACCATCGGCGCACGCCTCAAGGAAGTGCAAGATGCGCAGACCGATCTCGCCAAGTTCGGCAAGCAGGTCCAGCTTGTGTCCTTCACTCCTTTCAAGGGCGCGCAGGAGGCTTTGGAAAATGCCAACGATATTTCCGAAGGCATCATGAGCGATCTTCTCCGCACCGAGCTGGAGGCCAATCTTCCCAAGGCTGGAAAGAAGAACAAAGTGACACTGGGAGTGGGTGATAAGTCTCTGGCCGGAAGCATCAAGGATGGCTTCTCTGGTGTGCAGTGCGAGACTCCCGAGACAAGCGAATTGGCCGCCGATCTGCTGCGAGGTCTGCGATTGCACGCCGAGAAGCTGCTCAAGAACCTCCAGACTGGTGATATCTCACGCGCGCAGCTTGGTCTGGGACACGCCTACTCTCGTGCCAAGGTCAAGTTCTCCGTGCAGAAGAACGACAACCACATCATCCAGGCCATTGCTACCATCGACCACCTCGACAAGGCCGTGAACACCTTCTCCATGCGAGTGCGTGAGTGGTATGGCTGGCACTTCCCCGAGTTGATCAAAATCGTCAGCGAGAACCAGAAGTATGCACGATGCGCTCTGTTCATTGGCGACAAGAAGACCCTCGACGAGGACAAGCTGCACGACCTGGCTGCAATTGTTGATGATGACGAGAGCGTTGCCCGCGCCATCATCGAGGCTGCTCGTGTGTCGATGGGACAAGACATCTCCGAGCACGATATGGAGAACGTGATGACCTTTGCAAAGCGTACAGCTGAGCTTGCTGCATACCGCAAGTCCCTAGGAAACTACCTTGTCGCCAAGATGGGCATTGTCGCGCCCAACCTGGCAGCTCTGATCGGCGAGACTGTGGGTGCTCGTCTCATTTCGCATGCTGGATCGCTCACAAACCTGGCCAAATACCCAGCTTCGACTGTGCAGATCCTTGGTGCCGAGAAGGCTCTTTTCCGTGCCCTGAAGACGAAGGGCAACACACCGAAGTACGGTCTCATCTATCACTCATCATTCATCGGTCGCGCTGGGACGAAGAACAAGGGCAGAATATCTCGCTTCCTTGCCAACAAGACTTCGATCGCTTCTCGTATTGATAACTTCAGCATGCAGCCTACCAGGAAGTTCGGTGAGGCTCTGCGCGCGCAGGTGGACGAGAGGTTACGATTTTACGCAGAGGGCGTAAATCCGACTAAGAATGCGGAAGTCATGGTATGGGTAACCCCGAATCTGGCCTCGAACTTAGCTTACTAACACCGTCACAGAAAGCCGCTATGGACGCTACCCTGGCCTCCATTGACATCGCCGACCCTACTGCATTAGCTGCCGACGAAGAGATTGCCGCCGCGGGCGTGACAGCAGGCGCTGCCGAGCAGAAGCAACGGAAAGAGAAGAAGTCGAAGAAGTCAAAGTCGGAAGACGTTGACATGGCCGATATCGATGCCGATGAGGTCGACTCAAAAGCCGCAAAGAAGGCCAAGAAAGAGAAGCGCAAGTCCGATGCCATGGACATTGACGAAGATGCAGTCGCCAAGAAGCTGAAGAAGGACAAGAAAGAAAAGCGGAAATCCGAGGCGCTCACGAACGGGGAAGTGCCGAGTGAGCAAATCAAGGAGAAGAAGAAGAGCAAGAAGAACAAATGATCTCCATATTGATGGCTTGGATATGTATGTATGGCTGGCGATGGTGTTGTATGGCGTTCACAGGCATCACTGATGAGACGGAGGTACTGTACAGTACTGTATGCAAGAGTCTTGTGATTTTAGAGGCGACGAGTTGGTATTCCGAGAACAAGTATTCAACCTTTCAGCGCCTCCTTCGTGGTATAGTAAAAATGGGCCTTTCACGGCTGACATGTGTCATAGTAGGCGTTCTTCGGATGTCGTTTTGATTTGCTCTGGCAACTGCAAGACAGCTCTCCAGTGCCAGCACCACATTCGAAGCGAACTGTGCGAAGAATTGAATTGTTCCCACGTGGAATTAGGCCACGCCAAAAGCGCCACGCTCGTATATAACTTCGGTACAACTCATGAGGCCGCTTAGCCGATGACGCTGATTCGACTATCTTCCTGCAAGTCAGGGCAGGTCGCTACAGTAGGAAAGCAGACAATGACTTTGAGTCACGACATGCAGGGAAGAACCACGTATCCATGCAAGCATGTGCATTTCAAACGGCGTGGCTGTGTCGTTTCGTATCCTTTGACAGGGGTTGCTCATCAGGCTCTTGTTCTCTGATACTTCCAGCGCGCGCGAATACCACGCGCGAGTGGGAAAGTCACATCAAAGTAACACCTTCCGTGGCAGATCAACCAGACTGTCGGGAACGCTTTGAGTAGCAAAATTGTACAAGTCTTCCAACTATTCGATATTGAACAATCGCAGATGGCAATTTCCTCGCCTCATACGATCGAAAGAGTGTTGACCGATTCGCACTCAGTCGTAGTGCATCTTACTACTCATTTCAGAGGGCTTGTCAGCAAGCAGCATTGTGACATACAATCCGCTCCAACAGACATGAGTCTCGAACGAGACAAGGCGGAACAGCAGGTACAATACGACGATACTTGTTGCTGCATGGGTACAGAATGACGATACATAATCGTGCAATCCACAGCCCATCCCAGTTAGAGTCCTGCATCTCGTAGAATTTTTCGATGCTAATAAGCGAAACATCTGCAGCCTTTCGATAAGGCAGTCGAGGCCTTTGCAATACGAGAGAAGAAGCGCGAATGCAGCCACATATACATGGATCGTGCCATGATTGTTCAGTAAGCATATCCTTGGACAGACGTGTCGCTCGTACAACGGCAAAGCACATCGCGGAACCGACCTCTCAGTATTCGCTTCGTCGTACTCGCAGGCCGTCCCATACAGTGATGGGAAGGGTTCTACGCAGGCCCTGAGCGTAGCCACACGACACGCAACCAGGAAGATGGCGGAAAGCTAGAAACGGCACATGCATCATCGGGGGCTTACTCACACGAATCGCATATGCCAAGCTCCTCTCGGCAGGTCCTTCGTGCATCCGCGACAATGCACTGCAGATTAGAGGACACACCTTATTTTGAAGAAACCATCGAGAGCGTTGCGCGTGGAAAGCCGAGATGTGACCGCCCTATGTGGCTTTCTACTTATCCTGCAGAGTTTTGATTCCTCTAGTTGAGACTTTCTTTGGATCTGGTGCTTTCCCTCGTTTTATCTCCATTGAGCGATCATGGTCCGGTTTGGGCTCTGCTTTGGCCTCGTGGCCAGTCTGCAGGCTTCTCTGCTTGCAGCACAAGCGAACAATGCTGCCATCAAGCAGGCTTGCGATGACATTGACGCACAGTTCTCCGACGCGAGCGATGTCTTGACTTTCAGAGGCATTCGCTTTTACCAAGCTATCGATCATTGGATGGAGTCTTCTGACCAGACGCCGAGATGTGTGGTTCAGCCTGCTTCTGTACAGGATTTGAGTACGGCTGTAGGGTTCCGCGTTCCGTGTTAGGCAGACAAGTTGCTAATTTCGATAGATGAGGATTATTGGTGAGCGAAGGGTGCCTTTCGCCGTGATGTCTGGTGGCCACACTTCCAATCCTGGATTCTCGAGCACAACTGGAGTTCACATCTCATTGGCGAAGCTCAATGAAGTCTCCTTGTCGCAGGACGGATCTATCGCGAGAGTCGGCTTTGGCAACAAGTGGTTAGATGTGTACAAGAAACTAGAGGGAACTGGGAGGAACGTGGTCGGAGGCAGGGTGAGTGTTGAATTCACCGACTGGTTAGGCGAAGCTGATGTGCTTGCAGGTTCCTGGACCTGGTGTCGGCGGGTTCACCCTAGGCGGTGGGTATTCGTGGAAGACAAACTTGTATGGTCTGACCATTGATACGATCAAGAGTTTCACGCTCGTCTGTCCCAATGGAACGATCGCAACAGTAGACCAGTCTCGCCCAGACCTGTTCTTCGCTCTGCGAGGAGGGCTCAATCGGTTCGGCGTCGTTGCTGATGCAGAGCTCTACACTCATGCCCAAGTTCCCTTGATATATGGCGGAACGAGGCTATACGACTCGACACAAGTGGACAGAATTATCAACGCCACGTATGAATTCGAAAGGACGAATACCGACCCTAAAGCCACAGTCATCACATCAATTCTCGGGACGACCGCGACCACTCAATTCTTCTACGATGGACCAGAGAAACCTGCAAGCTTTGCAGTGTTTGACGGCATCAGGACCCTGCTTCTCGACACGGTCAAGACCCAGTCTTTCTCGGACTTTGTGGCTTCTATCCCGGCTGAGATTAGGGATGTGACCAATTTTCGAGGAACCTGGGAGACTTTCTCAACGACAAAAACCACACTGCGGTTCCTGAAAGCATTGCAAGCAGAGGCTAAGGTTAGGCTTCTTTTCGCGGTGTTTGTGCACTTCATGCTGATCCTGTGAGCAGAGACTCAGCAAACTACTTCGTGCTCCGACGGGCATCAACCTCGCTGTCGACGCGTATATTCCGGGCATGTACGGCCAGCACGCAGTGGCGGACACTTCGTACCCGCACTCGGACTCTCAGCTTCCGGTGAGTTTCCAGCTGGCAGGACATGAGCTCGGCTGACGTGAATACAGGTCCTGCTTGATGTCGCCTGGGCATTTTCTGGAGATGATGAGTTTTGGCGTCGTCAAGTGCGGCAATCTCGAGATGCACTGGTGAAAGTTGCTCAGGAGGAGCGCATCCTCCATTCCATTTCGTACTCAAACTACGCGCAAGGTAGCACTCCTGCGCAGGAGCTTTATGGTCCGGCAAATGCAGCGAGGCTGGCCAGTATCAGGAACGAGGTGGACCCGCAGAGAATCATGGACCTGACCGGAGGCTATGCAATTTGATCGGCCTGTTCTTGCGTGTACAAACCTCAGCGAGCGAGGAGTTGCATTGTGTTTGGGAAATGTCGATAATATCTTCGAGAGTGCGACTTCCGATGAAAACTTTGCTAGGTGTGTCTTCTTTTGTGTTTATTAAAATTGGTCCACGCGGTCGCAGGTGGAAACAGATAGCTTCGGCTATGCTGGCAAAGTGCAGGGCGGCTGGGCACCTGCAGAGGCAGGAAGAAGGCGACAAAAAAAAGTCTAGAATTTCGACCTAGGGAGATTAGAGAGCTCCTAAGAACAC